AGCAATATATGACAGTGGTCCCACAGGATTTTAATGGAGCTGAGAAATTCCTGTTGCCTCGTGTGATATCTTGACACGCAAGATCGTAGGGCAACACGCTTTTCACATGTCTGTGCTGAAGCTGTGCCTAGGTTTTCCAGTGCACGACCTTCCTTAAATTTCCGTGTCCTTTAACAAAGCCATTGGGAATGTATTGCTGTGTGTGTGTGTGTATGTGTGTGTGTGTGTGCGTGTGTAGGCGTATGTGCATGGACTTGTGTTCTCACTTGGCTCTTACCCTGAAAATTCTGCAAATAGCAAATACCAGTTTTCTACCAGAAGATTTCTGGGTCAGCCTCCTGTTTCCAGGACTTTTCCTCAGCCCCCATTTTCTAAGGATATGTGCCTCCAAGTGTTGCTCTCAGGCATTCGCTGACAAGAACTAGCTGCTTCTCTCTGGAGACCACCTTGTTCCGTCATAGCTGCCCCTGCTTTACTAAGTCTCCATCACACTCTGTCTCCTTTCCATCATCCAAAGGCTACCCCCACCTCCCCTGCCATTCTTAGTCTCAGGGGCTTGATACATTTATTTTCAATTCCACTCTTGCCCCATCAGTGGTAGTTGGGGTAGGAGAGGAGATAAAAGCCTGTGCTTAATTCCATATGTTTACCTTGAAATTTCTTTTGATTTCGTATCACAATTATGAGCTTCCCAGGGGGAAAACCAATTCTCTTATACGTGTCTGTTTTGTAGTGCACCTCCTAGGCACACCACAAATAATGGTCAAATGAATAAATTATTTATGCCAACAGATCTCTCTGAAATCCAATTATTTTAGCTGCTGATGTGATTACTTCTCCTGAGATTATCTTGGGTTAATCTTGAAACGAGGTGAGGGTGCTGATTGCCCCATGAAGGGCTTTCAAACTGACACCTGTAACCGAAGGAGGTATTTTTCTCCATTTTACTTGATTATTTAGTGTGTCAGCATGACAAAAAAAGAAGCTTCAATCCATTTCTGCTTCAAAGGTGGTATCTTTCTATTTTTCATAAGGACTTTAGCTATTTAATCTTTACTGCCCTTCTTGAAGGTTGGCTTTCTGACTATTTAAAATGTAATGGTTTGGCACATACAGAGTCCTATCCAAATAATTGTTTCCCGTACTTGGAAAAAAAAGTGTGTGTGTGTGTGTGTGTGTGTGTGTGTGTAAACTTTTAAAATATAAATGTGTGTATTTATATACATGTATACACACATATATACACTTTTTTCTTCTTCCTGGTACCCAATATTCTTCTGAGTTGAAATATTAACACTAAATAAAAAGTTGCTTTTCTATATTAAACATTTCTTTTACTTTTCACTTTGTTGTCAGTGACCTTGTTGCTGTGTTCATATGCTTGTCATCTTTCTCCTTGTCCTTTCCCCTCACTCCTCCTCTTTCTTCTCTTCCTTCTTTTAGCCATGAATGATAGCAGGAAAATGGGTTTTGAACCTCTACTTAGTACAAGTATATGCCATTGGAACAAAAGTTTCTGGTCACAATCCTTAACCCTTAACAGGTGTGACTGCTCTGAGGCGTGTCTTCTGTCAGGCTCTGTTTCACTCAAAACAGGCGATTGGGATCTGCTGTTTATTTCACAACACAGGAGGTCACAGCCTGATGTTGCAAAACAGTGCTCCAGGTAGCGTGAAGAGACCCTAAACCACATGTTCATGCTTCCTCCCTCCCTCCCTCCCTCCCTCCTTCTCTTCATTTTGTTGCCAGAATTAAATAACATTGCTTTGAAATCAGAAATAAAGATTAGAGGGTCCTGACAAGGCAGTGATGCTCATTTTTATGTACTCCTTAACTGCCATCTCTATCCTTATGCACGGCTGGCATCTTAGTCCTGTGGCGGGAAGGCATTTGGTCTAGTTAGTTTGTCCTTTTTATTTTTTATTTTTAGAGGTATTTTCATAGCAAAATTAAGTAGAAGGCAGACAGATGTTCCATACACCCCTCCCCCTACACCTGTAGCCTCCCCCACAGTCTCCACCCTGAACCTGGGGGCACCTCTGTGATATCTGATGAACCTACACTGACTCATCATTATCACTCAAAGTCCACTCAGTAGTAAGTCCACCCAAAGCCCTTTAAGGTCCTCTTTTCGTCTTGGACATTCTAGCAGCTGGAAACCTTGGTAAAGCCACACCCCCGCCGTCACAGCTCACATGGGTACCTTCCCTGCGCCGACAGCCCTCTGCTCAGCCCCACCAAGCTCCTCTCCCCGTCTGATCTCTGGCAGCCACACAGACCCGATTGCTCTTGCCACCCTGCAGGTTCCCCTGAATTGCATGCCATCTCTTTGAGGTATAATTTTATTTGTTGAAAGAACTTTGACATTTACTTAGTATTAGGCCTTGCTGACTGATTTTTATTGAAATCACTAAGATTCTTTTTATTAAGCATTTTTTTTCTAGTCATAGAATCATACATATGAATTTTGGAAAATCCAGTCAAGTACAAAGAAGAAAATAACATTTATAATTCCACTGTTCTAAAATAATGATTATTAATAATTTTAATATTAATAGTAGCAACTATTAATATATAATAACTATTAATAATATATCGCCTTCATATCCTTTGTTTGCAAGTACAGTGCATTTTTGCTATAATGCCTGTTACAGTTTGGACCCGAGGGGGTCCCCAAAAGCTCCTGTGCTGATGCAGGAACATTAGTGGTGACAGAATTCGATTGTGAGGGCTATAACCTGATCAGGCCACCCTTCTTACTGAGTGGCAACTGTAGGCATTAAAAAGTATATAATAAGAAAACACCCAGAATAGTTCAACTCCTGGATCTTACTGAGAATTTGAGGTTCTGCCCTTTGAGGTGAGGAATTGCTCCAGTGGATACTCTGGGGGCAAGGAAGTCTTGATTCTTCTGATATCTTTGGATTTGTGGGATCATCTGTGAACTAGACCCCTCAAAATGGTGACTGGCAGAAGTATCCCCTTTTGAGGTGAGGATGGGAGGTCTTTGTGGAGCGTTGATTTTATGGGAGAGTATTATCAGCCTGTTATTTTTGTTCTTCCCAGAAATATTGCTAAAAAGGGACATTGGGGTGTTCTTTTCTGAAACTGGTGAAGTTTGTTTTTGACATCAACTTGAAGTTGACTATCTCTGCAAATACTGGAAAAAACCCTCCCGTTTGCTTTTTTTTTTTTTTTTTCCCTACTCTCAAGCTAATGCTAATCAAAAACAGTATTTAGTTAACCTCTTGAAACAAGTTAGTCAAGTGTGCCCTGAAGGACTAAACTGATAAATAGGATAAAATTAATTGCTGGAGGCGAATCACTACAATTCATTCTTCCCCGTTGGCTTAAGCTGTGTTTTTGAGATTGGAGAGGTACCGGCCTCCACAGCACAAGCCTGGTTCTTCACTAGAACAGAACTTGAGGACTAGATCTTCCAACCACGTCTTAGGCCATGCAATTCATGGATAAACTTGAGTTGATCTGTTGCTTCTTTTGAACTTGGTGCACATTTTTATAACCTCAAGAACTTGAGGTTTCTGATCTCTCAGTCATTCAATTTTATACTTATAAAATAGCAGTCACTTTCATGATATCTCTGCGAACCAAAAATACCTTCTCCATATGATTCCTAGGAAATATCTACTGTGTTCCATTACTGAGTGATTTATACCTGTGCTGATGGTGAAATGGGTATTTAAGAAAGTGCTCTGTGCAAAGCAGGTATTTAAAATTTCAGTCTGAAGATGGTTTTTCTTAAAGCTGCAGAATAAGGAGGGCTTTTTAATTTGGTTTCTCATCACCAATGGATGTCTTAGTCCTCAGGATCTTGCTATCATAGATATTTTATTTCTAAGACAGAAAATCAGCTATTAAGTCCTCACATTCTGTAGGTTGGGGTTTGGGGAAGCTTTGAAGGAAGAATTGTTTTAGTCTGGGCCCCAGCTATCCCACCTTGGGAGATGTTAGGCCTAAGTTATAACATTTAGAGCCAAATCCTTCAGTAAAAGAAGAGTTAAATATTTGTTAAAAAATTTTAAATGTAATTACTTTTGGTTTCCAGCATATATTTTCCCCTCTATGACACATTTAACCAAAACAATGCATTTTATTTTTTTAAAAACCAAAATAATGATTTTTAAGCCTGACCCTCTAATACTGTGGGTTGAGGAAATTTAATCTCTCCTAAGATAAGCATCAGCCATCTGACAATTTCTGAAAATAAAATCTACCATCCATCCAAGTACTAAAAGTATATTTCTAGATGTTACAATGTCTTCCCCTCATTGAAAGCTTTTAGAATTTATTTAAATATAAACTTTCATTGCAAATATACATTTTGAAACATTTGAAAATAAAATCAGGCTGCTTCCTAGTATAGCCATCATGCTATCTAAATTGTTAAAAAAAAATCTGCCGCGATGCCAAGGACAGTTGCAACTTGAGATGGCTGATCCAAAGCTCTCAGCCAAGGAGCCCACAAAGTAGAGTGCAGAGCTCAGATTTAAGACCTAAATATGGTCCCCTTCTCGGTTTCTCTTTCCCCTACCTCATCCTTATTTTCTCTCCTTCTCTCCTTTATTTCTATATCATCATTATGTTTCTATAATTGTGATCTGTAACTAGGATGTAACTTTTAAAGTAAATCCTTCCACTGATTTTAACATTCTCCCTGCCCTGCTTATTTTCTTCAAGGACTACTACTACTACTCCCTTGATATATTTGTCATTAAATGATTCTTGAAGTCTTAAAAAGGAATTGAAGTTTAAAACAGAATCCATCCCCTATAATAGAAGTAAGCTATGTTTGTGATGTGCACATCACTTTTTTTCTCTGATGGGTTGCATGTCATTTGTCAAATGAGATGATTTTCATGATAATGTTTCTCATCTGTTCTGATTTATATTCCCCTGTGAACCCCACTGAATTTCTGTGTYTCTGCAGAATGACTCGGTTGACCAAGTTCTGGTTTTCCCTGTTTTTTAATTTGTTCTAGATACATTTCATATTGCTCTTCAGTCGACAAGGGAAATTGCGGCTGCAGAAAGGGTACACCACCCTCCCCTACAAAGAAAGGAAAAAGGTCACTCGGGAAATTGTTCTGATTATTCTCTCTCGTGGTCACAGGACAAGCAGTTTTMTTGACTGGAAGGAGCTAAAACTTGTTTATAAAAGGTGTGAGTAATTTTATAAGAACTGGATTTCTCACTGTTGCTTTGGTTTGTTCTAATCGTGAACATATTAGGTTACAACACCTGAAGTCTTGGAAGGCTGAGGCTCAGATATTTGTACCTTTAAGCCAACTAGCCAAGAACTCTTATTATTAAAATGACTTCCATGGGCTAGGATGGATTCTAAAGACTAGTACCGTATGTTGATTGTGCATAGATGGATTCAGGAAATATTGGATGAGCCCCTGTCATATTCCCGGCATTGTGACTTATGGCCACAGATACAGACAAGGAGTACACTCCTGCTGTCACAGAGTGTACTCCTTGGTTTARGTAAGATATTTTAGTGAGTAACATGCTATGGAGACAATTCAGGCTCATGTGCTAGAGAGATGGGGACTGTGTTTACTGGAGCAGCTTTTTATATACATATTATTCATATTTGTACTTGGGTAAACGGAAGACACAGTTCAAGGAATTAATTTCCAGTCACAGTAACTGACTGGTAATTGGTAGAGCCAGAACTCAAATCTGGGGTTTTCTGGCTTTAAAGCCTATATATTCTTTTTACTGCATCTGTTTGAAACGGTAAGACTATCCTAGAAAGGAATCTCTATAAATGAGAAAACTGAGCCCTGGGAGGGAGTGATTTTGCCCATGGAGAYCAGAAGCTTGATGCCTGAGTAGGACCAGAACATGGCCAACCTGACTGAACCTGCATCCAGCCTCACACCGTGGTTTCCAGGAGGAAAGCAAACATTAGAAGTGTCCTTGCAGAGGGTGCTTATAAAACCTAGAAGGAAAAATGGAGGTGACCTCTGCAGACTGATATTTAATGGAGTAAGTTAGCATCAGGTGCTGATCCTTCTGCTGGGTCCACGCTCAGAGCTGACAAATTGAGGGATGTCTACCGAAAGACTGAAGAGCCTTATGAAGTACCAGGGCACGAAGCAAGGGCCCCTGAGAGCATGGGTCAGGGYTTTGGATTTTACAAAGCACAGTTTATAAGCTGGAGAGAATTTTACTCACCCTGATTTCCAGGGACCAAAGAATTCTGTCCCCCTGATAATAGCTCTTCAAGGTAAAATTGTGTTGAGAGCCTTTCATGTAATTAACAGAAGTGACGTGATCACCACAATGTTTGTATATATTCTGTTTCATATTTAGGGAGCATATWGGATGTGATGAATAATAATTTCATTCTTGGAAGGGGAGACTCTCTGGAGAAGTGGAGGGGACTGTGTATTCATTGGGAAAAACCATCTTTTGGTTGTTTAACRTCTCATCCTGTTTTGCTTTCTTTATTTTTTTCAAGGTATGCTAGTTTGTATTTTTGCTGTGCAGTAGAAAATCAAGACAATGAGCTTTTGACACTAGAGATCGTTCACCGTTATGTGGAGTTGCTGGACAAATACTTTGGAAATGTAAGTGTTGCTCTGCTCTGTTAGACTCAGTCTCCATCTCAGCTCCTGCTTCAGTTCTCTCTCTTATTACACTCCTTCTCTCTCCCAAGTCTGAAATATGAATTGCATTTGTTCCCAGGATAGTACGAGTCCACCTTGGATCGGAACACAGCTTTTCTCCCTACCTGTTATTCTTAGTAAATGAAAGACAAACCTTTCTGGAGGGGGTGGGTCTTTACCTTTTTCACTGAACCAGAACTTAGTCATGGAGGGTCCTTGATGCTCTCTTCCTCATTCCTTACTGGCTTTGATATCTCTCTTCCTTTTGACTTTTTAGCCCTTTTCTGGCYTTTTATCCCATGCTACAAATATTCTTTAATGTTGTTAATATGTAAGGAAAAATAAAACACCAAACAGAAAAAAGCCCAAATCCTTTCTGTTCACGTTGCTGTTCCAGAATCCTTTTGCATTTGCTGCCAAGTAACATACTATACCAATATTATCCTTATTTCATATCATACCCGATCTGCCTGAACCTTCAACCCATTCATTCAACATTAGCATACASCAGGGGTTCTGTCTTTTCTGCTCCAGAGAGATCACAAAGCCACCATTGAGCTCTCCCTGCTGGTCAACACCAGTGACATTTCCTGAGTCCCCACCTTCCCTCCCCTCTCTGCAGCCCTGGATCCTTCCTCATTGCAATGTGTTCTTTAAGTTCCCTCCTCTTTATTTTGCCATGACAATGATTTCTGCTGGCTCTTGTCCTTTGTATCTTGYCCTCTAAATGCCCTGCTTTCCTTCCTACTCTCCTGGTGTATCTACTGACTCTCTCTCCTGAAATCCTTCACCAGCTGGCTCTTCTTTGCATCTCTGGTGATGGGCTTCACTGGGCATCTCACAGTCTAGAACCTACCTGTTCTATCTTGAGGTTGAAATTTATTATGTTCCAGAATTCTCCGGTGCCCAAGGACAGGGTTCTTTTATTTTTTTTTTTCTACCCTTTTGTAGAATCTACCTCTGTCTATTCAAATTAGACTACCATCCATCTCTTCCCTTCCACTCTCACTAGCAGAGGTTCACTTGGGATTTCAGTTTTGCCTTCCTTTCTAAACTTCCCATTGGGTCCTTTCTGTTTCTGGGTTGTTCTGTTTCTTTCTTGGCCRTCTTTCTTAGGCATGGCCTCCCTTTGCAGTCATTTTTCATTATCTGTCGTGAATAGAATTCAAACCTCCTAGGTTGGCATTTCAGCTTTCAGAACTCAGTCCCTGGCCGTTCCTCCAACCTTGTGATGTTCCTACTGCGCATACCTGCCATCRCCAGTCCTTCAGGACATGGCACAGGTCAGAGCACTCCTAACACAAGAGCTGCCTCACCACCAAGTTGCAAGTCACTGAAGTCCTGACTTTGACTTGTTTGTTTTCTTCCATCCATTGTAACCAGCTCTGAGCCAGATTTTAGCCAATCATTTAATCTAGTTCACCATTTCAAGAAACATATCATTGGATTTGGAAAATGTCTTTCTCTCGTAATATTCTCTGCCCTATCCTCTTGCCCACTAAAGACTTTTTTTTTTTTTTTAATCAAGAAAAGTTAGGAGAATTTGTTCCCAGAAGAGTCTTCTGTGTTCCCTGTAATGGAAAAAGCAGTTTTTGCAGAGTTGATCAGGGCTTTATCAGATTTGTTGCAATAGTTTTCTTAAGAACGAGTCCTGGGAGAGGTTCTGAAAGAATTTTCTCTCCTTCCCTTCCCCCACCTTTTCCTCCCTTGTAAATGATGTTTTAGTCCTAAAATGCTGCTTCAAGGATTTTAATTGTGGGTCGATATGGAAGTAATAAGACAGCTATGCCATTTTTTCTTTTTCCTTCTCCTGCTTCACCGAGTTTTCATTTTTTAAAGAGTGATTTGCAGATGTAAAGTAACGTTTCAAATGTGAGATAATTTAATTTAACACTTTCTTTTATTTCTACGAATTCTAGCATTTTGCTATTTTTCCTTTGAAATAAACTACAGACATGGCCCTTTGCAAGGGTCTGGAAGAGTTTTCTGAAGTCCAAAATTTCCCATCACCTGTCTTCTCTCCCTTGTTTCTGAACTCTGATTTGACCTGTTCTGTTTTCTTAGATTAAACCAAGGGTGATAATGTGAACTGAGGCTGAGTTTTGATCTCGGTGTATCTAACCGAAATTCAACCAAGTATTTCAGAGCATGTCACATCTCGAGAGAATTTGAATGACCTTCACCAATGTTTTGTCCAGTCAAAGTAGAAGGAAAGTCAGAGTGAATTCCCAGCTCTCTAACATTAATTTCCCAGCCTATTCTGGTATCCTTTAGAAGCTCGATCTTTGTCATGAGCCAAAATGTAATTCACTAAAAAAATCAATGAATCTTTGATTAAGCTAAGAGCAGCTAAGAGCCCTTCAAGGCTCTGTGCCCAGTAGGTGTTCAATTCTTATTAATTAACAGTGATGAGCAAAGTGCCGATTTTCATTGACATCATCTCAGAAATAATATGTCTTTTCCTCTTGTGTTCCCTTTAACCATGCCCTTTTATTATCCAAGGTAAAGCATTGTCCTTAGCATCTCTTATAACTCAGGCAAATATTATCTTCCAAAGACAGAGAAATCAAAATCTCTGGTTACTAATTTAAGTTATGTATTTTTTAGCACTTTTCAATTCCAAGGAGATTTACAAGGATTAACTAGTTAATCTTTCGATCTTCAGTAAGTAGCATTAACCCCAATTTATAGAGGCTAAGAAGAAATGCCTTAGAGTCTCACAGTAGATAAGCGTCTGTTTGAGGATTTAGATACCTACCAAACTTTCCATTACAGATTGTGGTATGAAGTTTTACTGATGCACTCAGAGTACCCAGATGTGGCCATCCCAGCAAGTTTTTGAACTTCATGTAGGGACCACTAAGCATCCTGCCGAGTCCTGTTGTCAGCTTGTACTAACTCACCCATGATTTAAGACCCATCATCTATCTCCATTTTACAGATGAGAAAAATGKCATTCAGAAAGGTTAATAGAAGTATTTGCTTTGCTAGCCTCATGGAGCTGCTCGCTATGAGGGTCAAAGAGAAAGTAAAGAGCAAAACTTTATAAACTCTAAATTGCCGTATAGTCATATGTTGTATTATAACTTTTTATTTTATACATAGCTTTATAGTATTTATGTAGTTTCTTATTGTCTGAAGCATTTCCTGCATGCGGTTTGAATTTTTTTGTATTGACGTTGGAACAAAATTCAGTTAAGGGCAGGTGCTTTTAGACTCTACTCAAAAGAATTTAGTTGGTGAAATGCCAGAAATAACTTCACTGCAGCAGGGCTTCTGCCAAAAGAAAAGACCCACAAGCCGTGTTATAGTAAAACACAAGAAGGAAGTCAAGATTCTGCTGTTGTCAACTTTATTCTTGATGCTATAGATAACATAAGGAAAAAAATGAGTACAGAGGTTCATGTTATATTAACATGGTGCAGGAAGCCACAGGTGTTCACATAATTAGGTAGAGTGGAGTCTTGTAAGCATTGAGGCAGAATCTTGAGGAATTTAGAAGTRTTTGAGTAATGAAGCAATAACTGAAGAAACTTGAATTTTGCATAAGGTTCTCCAGGGATGTTATCTCTTATTCTCAGTTGGAGTTAGTCTCAAAGATTAACCAGAGAATAGCATTTTGAAGTTGCTGTATACGAAATATTTGCTCATTATCAGAATTCTCCATAATGACAATGAACTTGTTTATTCATTTCTCTYAATGATCTAGAGGTAGTAACTGTATATCAAAGTATGTATGTTTTTATGTAACTGGATCTGCATACCACCTTACCTTATTCTTATCCCTTGAAACTAGGTGCAGTAAATTTGTTGCCCCATGGCTACTGGAGGAGACCCCACGGGCCTGGGGATAGGTGCCGCTCTCAGAGTGGGGTGTCACAAATTCCTAGAGAACTTGCATTAGTATCTGTTGGGTCCACTTGCTAGACTCTGATTGCTGGTTTGTCCTGATGAGGCTCCYGTCTATCTTGGATTCCTGATGTACATCCACCTTGCACCCTAAGGCTCCTCTGCTATCTCTCCTGTAACTCCCGACTTCTGCCTCTCCTGACCTCTGGTAACTGCTTACTTCTCATACCCTCTTTCCTGTGTGTGGATGTCTAATCTACTGTGATTTCTTTTTGTTTAGTTATATTGCTGAAAATTACAAAGTAACGCACATTTTTCATGTCCTTCAAGACATACATAATTTTTATTCTTAGATAAATGGGATTGCATTATGCATGTGACTCTGCAACTTTTTGTTGTTGTTGTTGTTGTTGTTGTTCCTTACAAGTCTATCTTGAAGCTCTTTCCATATCTATCCCTGTAAATCTCCTTCTTCCCAATACCTATATAGAATTCCCATGCCCCTGTGGGTGTATACATATTTTATTTTAACGACTTCCTATGGATAGAATTTAAGTTGTTTCAAATTATCATTAAAAATGATACTATAGGAAAGGCAGCAGAACACATCAGACACTAGTATGGCAATATGTAAAAAAGTGGATGTGTAACCGATGTGATTCTGCAATCTGTATACAGGGTAAAARTGGGAGTTCATAACCCACTTGAATCAAATGTGTGAAATATGATATGTCAAGAACTATGTAAAGTTTTGAACAACCAATGATAAAAAAAATGATACTACCATAATCTTTGTTGTTCATTATATTTGGTACACTGGTTTGAGTATAATATGAGAAATTCTTTGTGGAAGTTTTACAATGTTTACAATTGATAGATACTACAATTTGACCCTCTGAAATAGTCTATAAAATCCATAAATTCCACTCACAGTGGGTGCAAAAACCTATATATCCATACGTTAGCAGCAGTGAATGTTGTTTTAATTTACATTTGCATTTCTCTGATTGCTAGCGAGCTACAGGCCGCATTAAATGTGTGCTGGCATTTTCCCTTTCTTGCTTTGTCTGAACTGTTTCTTAAACAGTCTTTACTTTAAAAWTTTTTTTTTCCAATTGCGATACTAATCTTAGATATTTGCAAGGATTCTTTTTGTGTCATGGACACTATCTCCTTCCCCTTCCCCATCATCATTTATGTTGCAGATCTCCTCCCTGGTGTGTGCTGTAATTCCCCCTTGTTTATAGTGGTGCATGGTGCACACTGTTTTCTGATCTGTCCAGATTTTCACTTGGAAAACTTCATTCCACTCTCATTCAAATTCTTAYAATGAGAAGTAAAACAAAGAGTTCATAAACTGTGGACATACCCTTTTATCATGCCATTTTCTCCCTGATGGGGGATCTCAAGAGGGAAACCTATTGGTCTGGGAAGTGATAGGGTGATGTTTTAGTGGACAGATTTTAATTTTAGAATTATTCATATATGTTTATGTGGGCRCACACATAYACACATAAAGAGAGACTCTTGAGGGAGGAAGGGATAAATACAGATAATCTATTTTYCTCTCTATCTGCTTATTGTTGATGAATGCTGTTTTCTAATGAATGAGGAGATTGTAACCTTTGCTGATGAGTTAGATGAGTTTTTCTGAGCTGGCCATCCATTACAGTGGCATTCTATCCATTTGTTCATATGCTTCTAGATTCAATTCTATCTGTCAACATAAACCAGTTCTGTGTTGTAAGTTTATTGACCTGAATTCTAAATATATGGAGCAATTTGCTAAAATATTGACACCCATTTTATATAAAGTTATAGCATTTGGTGGAATCAGAGAATTGTTTATCTGGGGAGTCATTAATCCCTGGTGTGATAAAAACAAGGCTGTATGATAGCCAACTCATTCATTTACTCCAGATTCATTGCATTCCAAAATTATTGTGCTCCACTGTGTGCCAGATTCTAGGGACATAAAGCTGACTGAAACAGGGTCTCTGCCTTACGGACAGTAGGTTAGAACACACCAGTGCCCAGATGTGAGAACGGAGGGGAAGCCAYGTGGAATCTGAATGGGAAGAGGATTTGGGAAAATCATTGCATCTGAGACTTTTCAGTKTGGCTTTGAAATATGAGCTTGGTTTTGCCAGCAGCAAGATAAAAGAAAGGGCATTTGGTAGAACATTCTAGGAATTGCTGGAATGTGCCAGGGCGAAGGCATGAAAGAACATGGCAAGTTTGTGGTACCTGTGGCTGTAGCTCAGGAGAAGCATGGGCACAGGAGAGCAGAGAGCAGGGCCTGGATGGATAGTCAGATCCCTGTGTGCTCGTAAGGAACTGAACCTGGTCCTGAACATGACCTCATGCCAGAGAGGTACAAGATCAGTGTTTTAGCAGTGTGAGTGATGGATGGTTCTGAGCAGGCACAGACACCACCTGGAAGCTCATCACAATGGGCCCAGTGAGGGGTGTTGTAGGTCTGAGCAGCTGTGAAGTGGAACAGGGGGTGTGGGGGGGATTGTGGGAGGAGAGAGGGAAGGATAGGGATTATTTARATGGTAGAGTCAATAGGAATTGGTTACTAAAGGGGAGGGCAAGCCCAAGGGATGGAAAGGAATGAGGGGAGGGTAAAATGAACTGAACTCTAGAAGGGGTTAGATTGAGCAATTAGGAAGAGTTCAGATCGATGTGTGGCATGGCGATCTGGATGGAGGAATATCCAGGTAGAAATGTCTACCCTGATRCCCCAGATGGAGATCAGGCTGGACATCAGAGTGTGTTGAGCCACTTGGGTGCTGGACAGAGCTCTGAGAGCCCACGAGATCGTCTGGGCGAATGTGAATATTGCAAAGAGAAGAGGCTGTGCTGAGGAACAGAATATTTAAGGAGAAGATAGATGGCCAGAATCTAGGCAGTGTGTGGCAGAGATGTCATCTGTTCTGATGATTGATAGGTCCCAAGTACTCATAAATATTTCTTAATTGGGGAGGAGGAGACAAATCATCTGAGGAGCCTGAGAAAGAATCATCAGAGATAGAGGTGGACAGGCATTAATGAGCATGCCAAGGTCAGGGGAGCAAGGGAGAGGAGGTTCAGGAGGCAGATTGGTGAAATGTATCAGATGCTCCTGAGTGAGGTCAGGGTGGTGGAGGACTGGAGACTTTGAATGAGCCAACAAAAGAGGGCAGCTCCAGGTGGGTGGGTGTACTATGGGTACAAAGAAAAGGTCAGGTGTCAAAATCTTTGGAATAAGGCAGAAGACCCACAAGGATAGTGCTTGAGCTGCTGTCTCGTGGAAGCCTAGGAAATGAGCCCGATTTGGAGTATGACAGTAGCCTTGACACTTTCTATACTTACACACTGAGATCTATCAGACTCTGCATTAGTCTGTGACAGTKGTTCTTAATGTGAAGTCCAGCTGGCCAGAAGCATTCTCTAGGAATCTGTTAGGGTGGCACTCTGGCCCTGACCCAGAAACCCTGGGGATGGGGCTTCTGGGAGAGGTTGGTACACTCTAAATTTTAAAAAACATTGTTTTGTGGGCTAATTTTGAGAAAAATTAGCATTTTTGAGCTAATTTGCAGAGTGAGCTTTTAAAGCTAGGAGAAAGTCCTAAAGCCAAGATTTTCAGACCAAAGGGTAGGAGAAATGAAATTCTGCCCTTGTGCCTGAAACGCAGCCAGGGTTCAATTATTTGCTGCAGGTGGGTAGAGGAGCTGAGTAGCCTCCTTCTTCCACTGAGTCTCAAATTTCTTGTTGCAGCATAAAATATTATTTTCTAAGGACAAGGTCTGCTTTAATAGAATGTGGTTTTACTTTTATTAAGGGCCTGGGATTCCTTAGTTCTATTTTTCTGTGCTTAAAATACCATCTGATCCTCCCGTCTTTGGGTGTGCATGGGTGCAGCTGTGGGAAAGCTGGGGATGCTGGGGAGGKTCTCCACTGCTGCTGCTGCCACTTTATCAAAACATTTGTTTTTGTCCCACCAGGTCTGCGAGCTGGATATTATCTTTAATTTTGAAAAGGCATATTTTATCCTTGATGAATTTATAATAGGTGGAGAAATTCAGGAAACATCCAAGAAAACTGCTGTCAAAGCTATTGAAGACTCTGATATGTTACAAGAGGTCAGTACAATTTTCCGTGCCATAGGAAAAGATGATGATGATGGTGGTGGTGACGATACTGTTAATAAGATTACAGGGTAGCCCTGTAATCCCAGCTACTCAGGAGACTAAAACAAGAGAATTGCAAGTTCAAGGCCAGCCTGGGCAATTTAGTGACACCCCATCTCAAAAAATAAAATGGGAATGTGGTCAAACATGACCTCAGGTTCAAAAAAATATTATATTAACCACCATTCTGTTGGTACTTTGTGCTGAGTATAGTTTCTAAGCAATTCACATGTATTAGYTTGTTTCTTTCAGTAACTCTAAGAAGTAGCTATTATTGTTACTCCATTTTACAGATGAGTAAATAGAGGCATCAGAAGATTAATGACCTGTTCAGGTTTACACAGTTAATAAATGGGCAATACAGATTTGAACCCAAGCAGATGGGTCCTGTTTGGATGAACATTTTAGTGTTAGGATATCTCACTATCAAAAAGGTATCAAATTCTTGGTGTTATCCTTTGAAAAAATAATGTTATGAGATGTATAAAAAGACTTTCACTGAAATATCTGTGCTGCCTGAGAAACGAGAATAGCAGTACATAGTTATTTCATTTGCCAGGAATATTAGGGCTTTGTTATTGAACATGGCATTTATCATTTTAATTAAAATTTCTTACACCTCCTGGGAAGGCCAAACGTGTGCTCCTGTTTGCATAAATAAATTGGAAGCACTGTGGATGCTTGCTGAGATATAAATGGGCTCTGAAGAATCCATTTGGTACTGCTCCTGACTCTCTGTGATTCTTATATTGTGGGATTTTTCTTTTAGTAGCAGCCCAGATTTGCATCATATCTAATGGGGAACTTAGCCTATGCTACCTCCTTCAGTCCTCCCATGGACACTGTGATAAAGAGCAGTTAGATCCACTGACCTCTGCTCTCCAAAAYCAGATGATTTGATCAGCCCGGGCTCAGGCATGTGCCTGGGGGGGGGGGGTTGGGTTCCATCCCAGGTTGGCCAAGGCTAGGTCCTTCTCCCAGAGTGTCAGTGGGGTCTTTGCATCTTTGTTTTCATAACAGCAGGTCAAGAGGATCCAGAGCATCCTTAAGTACCTTCTTAAAATTGGCATTAAAGCCATTCTTTCTGCTCTTTGGAAATAAGAGGCTGATTAAGTTAACAACATTAGGAATGATTTCCAGCATGTTTGGTATTCCTTTGAGCTGATTTCTTGCTCCTGCTCATGGAGGGCATCAGTCTCTAGGGGAGTGGACCTGAAAAAGGACACCTATTTGAGTGAGCACCCATAAGCAGCTCCGTGTGCCTCCATGTGAGGCCATGCATTTATTACTAGAGGTGTTCTCACCTTAAAAATGCATTTCAATTCTCTGAGGTTTACTTGGCTCTCTCCAAAATGCCACTGGAAGGGGATTTTTACAAGGTACTAGAGAAATCTGTGGTTTGGAAATCCCATGGAATCYCATATTTTGTAAAATATGCTGGAGGAGGAGTAGCGAGGGTGAGAGGGAGAGGTTATTTAAAATGCTGTCCTTAGGGTACCTAAYGTGGAATCTCTATACAGGAGGAAAAGACTCCTCACAGGGTCTTTGGTGCTTCAGTAATTAAAGCTTCCTGAATTGGGGCCAAGACAGACCTGGATTATTTTGAAATTTCCCCTTTCTGTAGGAAAGAGAGTATTAAAGAGATTGTAGTGAATGTGGTGTTTCTAGTTTCATCTAAATATGAAAAGCAGGTATTTTACGAGTAAATTCTTTCACATTAAGGGACATGATAGTTCAAGTCCCTGGTGATTGAGTGGACAAACTTGATGGGTGGGTCTCAGGGACCTGCATTTAACCCTATGTTCCCCAGTAAGTAGCAATGTCATGCTGCCTTTAAATAGCTCTGATTGAATAAATAGCACCCACCAATAGAGAAAGTGTCACTAGTGTCTTTTTTGGGCTCTGGTACTCCCTTCAGTGAAGTTCATGGGCATTTTGGTGAGCTTGCTGAAAATTAACTTTATCTATCTTGCCTGATTCACAAAGTTTAGAATGAGTAGAAGAAAATAATTGCATAAAAGCAAAAAAGAAAAAAAAAAGTGCTTTCTTGATTCCCTGTCCTTTGGACCTAAGCAAGTGTTTGTTGTTACTGTAGGCTAGGAAAGGTCTTCATGACATTGATTTTACTTTAAGAACACAGTACCTTCTCCAAGTAGGTCCGGAGTCTTTTCCTCAATCTACTTAATAAATTAAGTTTTTTAGGATAAAAATAAATAAATAAAAGCTGTCTTTACTCATTTAATAAGACCTCATGGTCTCAGAGTCTCAAAGCTCTAGATGCTCCAGGCTTATTCTGAGTGTACCAGGGCTAGATGTTGACAATAAGGAAAGTCAAAATTTAATTGGTTGAGGATGACTTATTTGGGAGGGAGTAACAAGGTGGATAGGGGATGACATAAAGTTGTTAGAAACAAAGGAAATTCCAACTAAGAGATAACTACCCACAGGGATTGCAATTCCTAGAATTACCAGTAGGGGCAGTCATCAGCAGATGTCTTACACAAAGAGATGACATAAAGAAGGGAGAGTCAAATGGTATGTGAAAGCAACCTGCTCAGTGTGCCCCTACACTGTCACCATTCTTAGCACATTAACAGCTAAGCCAAACCAGAGTGCAGTAGGCATAGCATGTACAGTGAAGAATGCACAAGATGCACACCACAGTGCTAGACAGAGCCAGAAGGTGTCCCAAGGTAACACTCCAGCCCTCTTCTTGCAAAGGYAAGGGCACACCTCTTTAGGGATGTTTCTGTCTTAAAAGTCTGCTCCAAACCTTTCAAGTGACAAACTCAAGAAAATACCACCTCTGAGGTTGCTGGTTCATGTAGATTGAGTGACAGTTGGGCTCAGGCAAGGCAGCACAGCAGTCAGCAGCCTGTGTCATCTGGTAGTGTGAGCAGTGCTGATAGSTAGAGGCCAGTGAGCCCCGAAGCCAGTGAGGTGTCTACTCCAGGGCCTTTGACTGACTCAGGCTTCTTCAAGACTGCAGAAAGGAACTATGTACTCATATTGTCATGCATTTTAGTCAAATTTGCAAAAGGAAGGTATTTTATATAGCCCTACAGTGAATCTAAGATATGTTAGAAGAGCATTGGCCATTAATCAATGAGAATAGCATGCTATTCTGGATTTTGTTATATTTGCCATCTTTTAAATATTAATAACCTCTCATCATTTCAAGTAAACTTTATACTTAATTTTATATTTGTAATTTTGTGTTCCTTTCAAAGGGTATGAATTCCATGTTTCATAAAACTGTCATGGTCTGTTAGCTGGCATGATACCCCAGCTAAGTTAAAAGACATGGGTGACATCTTTAGGAGGAGATASAGGACAGAAGCCTTAAGGATATGGGCCTCTATTGGCCAATGCTTTTTAGGAGGCCTAAGAGCTTTTGAAGAAAGTGTGGGTGATTTAGTAGCAGTATTTTCAGCAGAAGATCACTGAATTCTAGAAGGCAGATAGAAGCAGTTAGAAAAGCTGATTTCTAACTACGGTCTCCCCCTGGTGATCTTGGTTGGCTATGACCTTGGTCTATTTGGCTCATGCTGTCAGTGTCTCTCCTGGCAGGTTCGAATGAGTCACAGACGCTGAGGTCTGAACTTAAGAACAAGTGAGGAAGGGGTTGCTAATAGAACTGCTGGCAACTCAGCACAGAAGAGGCAGGGTATTGCCCAGGAAAGACTTGCTGCCCTTCTGAGCTCTTTTATTGATTCAACCTGGGGCTATGGTGTTTCTCAAACAACATATGGTATTTGTGGTAGGAGGGARGGCGATGGAAAGTCAACCCATCTTGTACAGTATAGTACTTGCAACATTACTGTATCTATGATTGTGAATCTCTTTAAACACTTTTTTAAAAAAAATGCTGGAAAAGAAATATGGAGCTGTCTCTTATTGGCAAACTTGGTAACTGATGAGTAGGATGAAAAACCATGATTTGTATACTTAGGAGGAAAGCCTTTCAAAACCCATGGCCACCGTTCTGCAGAATCATGATGTATGTATCATTTATGTCTTGGCAGTAAGTGTGCCAAGGATGTTCTGCACAGTGTAGGGAGCAGGACATGTGCTCTGCAAGTGCCCTTCAGGCCTCCCTAGACACATTCCTGGATGCGGTCCTCATGATTCTTTAGCAGACACATTCACCTTGAGTCAACAGTGCTTCTTGGCAGGTGTGGTTTCTGCTTTTCTCTTAGCAGACACTCATCGGATGATCAAGCTTAGCTTTTCCAGCCATAAGGTCATGTGTACAAGTGATGCTTAAACTTCAAACCACCTTTCTCTATCAGAAGGCAAAGATTTATGTCCACAAATGCTTTTGAAAACTTTTTTCAATAATGGCAAAATATATCCAAAAGAATGAAAAAGATTTTACTGTTTGCTACAGAATGCGGCTTAAAGGGAAAATTGTTCTAATTCATTGTTCTCTTTCAGACAATGGAAGAATACATGAACAAACCTACATTTTAACTGTACATCTACTTGAAGACTCCGAGTGCTATGAATTATAAATTTACAAACAAGCAATGCCTTACAGTCAGTCTTGACAAAGCCTCTGGCACCATGCCAAAAATAACTTAAAGGGATTCTTTGTTAACTAGCACAAATTGAAGTCATTTAACATGATATATTTATAATTGCTACACATCTGTATTATACTATATATGAGTACHTTTTGTGTGCCTGGTTTCTTGAAACGACTGTTGAATAACCCAATGGATGAATAGTTGTTTGCAATGTTTTAACTCCATGTGATATWTTAAAGCTAATTTTGAAAAAAATGATTGCAGTATATTTGCATTGCATTTGACCTCCTACTGACAGGTTGAAAACTGTATTGTTGATAACCTGTGCTTCTGAAAGTAAAGTATATATTATTAATGCCTTTCCTTGATATTTAATTTTTAAAAGTATATATTAATTCAAACTTATGTTAATAGTTGAGTTCATACCTAATGCTGGATATTTTTCAAATACTTAATAATACTGTAATTTCAGACCAGATACAATGTATCTTATTTTAATGTTCTGAATTCATTTATTTTTTGAGSATTGGAATTAGAGACRATAACCAAAKAAWGTATAGAACTTMACAAGTGTTCTTGAGGCTTTAGGAGCTGCTACCTAGGCTGAGGTTTTAATTTTACCTTTTAATTGAATATAAGGGACATTCCAGTAAGGTTATGTTTTCTACAAACTCTATATATTTATTAAGATTTTTAGAGATCCAGAGATCTAGTGTCTATGACATTCTTTATTATAAAAATAGTATATYAGGGATTAATAACAATKCAATAATTATTATTGCTACTACTATTTTAAAAATCTCTTATGTTAAAAGCACTCTTAGTTGCTTGAGAGGTTTTATTTYAAATATTTTTAATGTAAATTTAATATATTTTAAGTCATTGCTTATTARGCTTACTAAGGGCATTTATTAGCTATCATTGCAGTCTAAATGGTGGATGATTTTCCTCCTCCCCTCCCCAAATTTTCTGCTTGTCATTACTGTAAATATGTTACCTTAATGCTTCCTGGAATGAAAATTCTACATGACTAGGTAGAATTAAATATGATCTGAGCTGGGCCTGGTGGCACATGCCTTAATCCCAGTGGCTCAATTAAGTTGAGGCAGAAGGATTGTGAGTTCAAAGCCAGCCTCAGCAATTTAGAGAGGCCCTAAGTAATGCATCGAGACCCTATCTCTAAATAAAACATAAAAAAGGACTGGGGATGTGGCTCAGTGGTTAAGTGCCCCTGGGTTCAGTCCTCGTTTCCAAAAAAACAAAACAAAACACAAAAATGTGATCCTACGCATTATGGGGAAATAGCTTGCACTGTTCTGTCTTGGTGCCTTTCTCTGAAATCTTACCTGTACATTTTCAATGGGAGTCTCAAGGGCTGGTATCGCTCATAGTGGAGCTGTCAGTGCCTCCTAGTGCTTTTCTTAAGGCAAGCCAGCAGATTCCATATGGCACCCCCTCATAGAACATGATGGAAATACGTCCTCTGTGGGTCATCTCAGKAGAGTGCTTCAGGGAAAAAGGCAAGATGGGAGKACAAGAACAGAGGGCTAACTTGACCAATTCCCCAATATAACCATTATTTAAAGGAAATAATTCAGATGAGTATACGGAATAATCACTGGGTTTTTAACTATTTCCTCAAATTAATAATATGATTGYAATTATGGCATCAGACTGAAGTTTATCATTTTTTATCACCGTGTTTACTGTTTCTTTAGTTCTTTAACTTTTTTTTTTTTGGTAAATATGGTAAAACTCTGTTTTTCAAGACAATTTTATAAAAGATTTTGTACTTTCATGTAAATATATCACAGTTTTTCTGGTTCCTTTCTATTATTTTTGGATGAAGGTATTTTTTGAACCTCATTAAATGTACTAAATATGTTCTGGATAATTCCATATTAGATACTGTCTAGCTATGCATAGATATTCTCAGACTTCCTGTCACATACAGAAAATGATTATGTCTTTGKGGCACACTGGGGTAAGTTTGAGGAATTTGGGGGGCATCTTTTATGGGTTTTGGTGAAAATAGTCATTACGTTTTCTTTATATTGTATAATTATAACAAGGGTACCAAGTGTAAGGAATGGCAATAAACATTCAGCTTGTATAATGCTTCCAAATAAAATATTTTAAAAAATTTTAATGAGAAACTTGAATGTGTTGTTATGAATATATATTTTTAACCAGATTTTTAATGCTTGAAATTGCCACCCCTAAGTTTTGGCCCAAGTCCCTATCATTTTCTTGCTACTTTCCATGAAGAAGAAACTTCCCAAGTAGGGACAGCAACTTGTTCCTACTGACTTCTTGGTCACTATTCCTGTGCATTTCGATAATCTGATTTTTTTAAACCTACATTTAATGGTGCAGTCATTGTTTAAATTTAGAGCCTAACTTTTCTTAATCTCTCTCTATATGCTTTTCTGCTGTTTCTCAAGGAAAACAAGTGGACCTTAGTGTACTTGCAGGGATGCTTTGAGCCATAATGCTAAGCATCCTATTTGTATTCAGCTAGAGCATCACAATGGGGATCACTAGGACCTGGGGATCTGCATGCTGGTCCTGGCTGCCCCTGATAAACCTCATGGGCTTGCTCTTTAGAATGGGTGGAACATCAGAGTCAGGTGGGATCGTGAGTCGTGAGGTCAGCTAGTTCAAACCTCTCATTGTACAGAAGAGGAAAGGAAATCAGGACTTTAACATTTATTCTTTGATCAGGTCCCAGTGCTAAACATTTGTTTAATAAAACTTTGACTGTTCAAAGGTATTACCCATGAAAGTATTTGATGAGTCTGTTTTCTTGGTATAAAGTACAAGCTAATGATATTCGAGGCATGTTTTTCGCCCTTTTAAATGATGCAGGTGAAGTGTGTTGGGAACACTTGAGATGATTGATTATATTATAGGGGTAAAGAAAAGAGTTGCTCCTGGAATACAGGCAAAAGGTGAATGACCAAGTTTGTGTTGCTGACTTGTGCAGGTGGGATTTGTGTCACCTTTTAGAGGGAGGAGAAATCAGAGAAAGAATACATATTCTGCTAGTGTTGAATAATAGTCTGGAAAAACTACTGAGCTCTGTGACTGCTTCCAACATTTAGCTAAAGCTTATCATGTCACCCTTGGTGGTATCTCACCATGAGAAAAGAGCTTCACGTTTGGTTTTGGGCTGAGGAAGAAACAGCAAGCACTGGATGAAAATAACACTGAAAAATAGGCAGAGACTGGAGGGTTATTTACCAAGTCACTTCCTGTTTCCCCCTGGGCATAGACCTATGCTTTATTTCCCAGCCTCTTTTGAAGTTGAGCTTATAAATGACAGAATTATGACCCGTGGAATGTGGGTCAAAGTAATATGAGCCCCATTGCAGGTCTGGCTCATGAATGTGGCCCTCCATTCTCTGACTTTCCCTCTTCACAGCTCAAGGAAAAGACTCCAGGATCCAGAAAGGCAGAGTCGTGAGACAGAGGAAACCTAAAACGAAGCTGTCAGGAAAGGCAGCCATCTAGGCCAGCCACGTGGCATGATGTGTGTGGTAGAAACGGACTTGGACTTGTGTTGTGTGAAGCCACTGAACTCCTGGGTGTTGGCCACAGTCTGGAGCCCACCCCCACCTAATGCATGAAGCAAGTGGATAATAAACAGAGCTGGCTACTAAGAAGACACACCCAAACAGAGAAGCGGAAGTATGATGTTGTCATTCATATGTCACATAAGTTTTCATAAATAGAACGTGGGTCCCACAGGCCACCCTAATCTTGCATACAATTTTACTTTCTCACTGTGTAAAAATTTATGTGATCTTATAAAAATTAGATCTAGTTTCTTCTAAAACTTGTAAGAGCTGGCAGTGTTGGGCCTGCTTTTCTGCATGGAGTTGCAGAGTCTGCTCCTATTACTCTACCTACCTACCCATCACTCTAGCCTAACCCTGGAACATTTGCATTTGATCCCCATACTGGATTTATACCCTGCTTCTGTGGTTGCTTTTGCAACACTTTACTCTGCCTTAAAAAAATATCTATCTATCTATCTATCTATCTATCTATCTATCTATCTATCTCACTGGGGATGAAACCCAGGGATGTCTTTCCACTAAGCCACATCCCTATCCCTTAATTTTTTTGGGGGGTGGGGGTGGGAAGATTACAGAATCTTGCCAAGTTGCCCAGGCTGACTTGATGTAGAGCTCCTCCTGCCTCAGCCTCTCAGGTCGCTGAGTTTACAGGCCCGTGCTACCATGCTTGGCTGAGTCTGCTTTGGGGAATACTTTGATCTGACTACTTCTGAACTTGTAAGTCACCTAATCCACCCTCCTTCACACTTCTTCCAGTTTGATATGTTACTTTCTCCTTGGCTCTTTCTTGTTCAATTTATTCCTTTTACCTCAAATGCCATAAGCTCCATCTTGTAGAGCCAGTTTCTTAAATACTCAAGTGTCACTTTCTTCAGGAATCCCCTCTTGTCTCATCCTTTCTTTCTACTCTCTTTGCATAATATTGGTGTCTCCCAGGGTAACTGTGGCTCCAGATATGAAATGATAGATATTTAAATATGTGTCTTACCTCTTGCTGACATAAAAAATTCAGGGTGTGTGTGAGACAGAGATAGAGACAGAGAGGGAGTCTTTTCAGATTTCCTAAGTGGCCTATTGATGTCCTAAACACGCACCATTCCTAATAGCTATCAGATTGAAAACCTCTCCTTTAAACCATGTGGTTTTCTTAATACTCCTGGGCTAGAAACACAAGAAGTTCACGAAGCCAGCAAGCAGTCTGTTCGTTTCCAGGGAACATCACCAGGAAAGTTTATTTTGGGCCAAGAAGGACTGTATTATCTCTTATATTGTCTTGAGTTCATAAAGAACATTAAAGCATTGCACTTCTGAAGCATGATAAAATTTTAAAAGTTCAGGTGACAGATGATACTCTATTGTTCAAGATTTTTTTCTATTTTGTCTATAGCTGGGTCCCAACCATTCACATCAGTGCCTTTCACACAGTAAGACACCAATAAGTGTTACAATGAAAGTTGAATGCTGATATGCAAATATGTAACAATGAATCCCACCATTATGTATAATTATAATGCATCAATAAAAAATGGGGGAAAAATGAATCCAAAAGACTAAGTTCCACATAATGATTC